CACACACACACACACACACACACACACACACAAACACACACACACACACACGTGTGCGCCTGATTACGGGCATGCACGTGAGTACTCACAATCGCCTGATTACGGGCATGCACGTGAGTACTCACAATCACATAATATGAACACATAGATACACATACATTTCTATACAAATGACACCAACACTCACACATACCAACCCAGAAAACAGGACAGCAAATAGAAAGGTGAAGGAAAACCCAGATTCTTTCTCTCGTATCCAGGATTCGAACCTACGACCTCCCTGATTGCCCAAGCTCGTTACGTACATAAACTGTAACCAGTCACTCCTTAGCAATGGGCTATGTAAACTTCCAAGTTCCTCGGTCGGGCGCACGTTCTCCACCCCTCGACAACGCTCCTGCGCCGTACGACAAAGACTGCACCTCCTACGATGTACTCACTCCCGTTACCTGGAGCAAGTCGATCCCTCTAAAAACGAGTGAGGGGAAACAGACGATCAAATTTCAAAGCAAAATGACTGAGGACAGACAAAACAGCGCTTTCCAGCAAGGATTGATTGGTTAAGTGACGTTGTTATAGAATGCGGAAAAGACGCAGACAGGAATCACAAACAGTGACTCCCACGTGCACGGAGGAGAAGGCGGGAGAGGTACACACGTAACAGGGCAAGGAGCAACAATCAGACAAATAAACAAACAGACATGAGTGCAGGTAGATGGATAGCCAGAGCTGGCTAATGGGACGATGAGGACAGACGATGGGAAGAGAAACGAGGAGACAGATACAGCACGAAAGCAGGCAACAGGTGAAGAGACAACTAGTTCAGCTTCTCCCCCGTAAGAATAAGACATTGTGGGATTTTGGATGTTTCAGTTTTCTCAATTTCATGTTGTTGTTGCTATTGTTGTTATTGTTGTGGCTGCTGTTGTGTTGTTGTTGTTGTTGTTGTTGTTGTTGTTGTTGTTGTTGTTGTTGTTGCTTTCGTTTGCTATTGTTATAGTTACTTGTTATTTTTCTTGTAGTAAATTTTGTTCCCCTTCTCGTCGTTGCTTTTGTTGTCTTCAATACACATTGAAGATCACTTCTATCCGCACATCAGGAGGATTGGATTTTGATGGCACAAAACAAAGGGTTATTCCAATTTTATATGCAAGACTGTGCCTTTGTAAGTTCAATCAAAATAAATACTGAAAGCCCTAAACTATACATTTTGTACTAAACAAGGACATCAGTTGAAATGAAAAGTATTTTTAAAAAGAGCGAGAAAAGTAATCAAGACTCCTTTCAAGTTTGAACCGCAAAAAAACTATTCCAAAAAAAAAAAGAAAACAAATATCTATTCTGGTTTTGCTGTAGTGCGGCAAAAGCAACCAGATCTAGCTATGTGGCACGCTGGCACAGGCATCATTGTGAGAGTCAGTGTCGTCACTTCCATCACTTTATAACTAGATGACAAGAAGAGATTTTTCTTTTTACGCTATAATAATATGGCACCATATCCAGTTCTGTGCGTGCGTATCTGTTTGTATGTTGGTGTGCATGTGCGCGCGTTTGTGAGGGTGGAGTGCGTGTGTGTGAGTGATTGTGTGG